CGGCGCCGGCACACCGGGTTCTAGTCCCGGTCAGGGCGCCAGATTCTGTCCCGGTTGCCCTCTTCCAGGCCAGCTCTCTGCTGTGGCCAGGGAGTGCAGTGGAGGATGGCCCAGGTCCTTGGGCCCTGCAACCCATGGGAGACCAGGATAAGTACCTGGCTCCTGCCATCGGATCAGCGCGGCGCGCCGGCCGTGGCGGCCATTGGAGGGTGAACCAATGGCAAAGGAAGACCTTTCTCTCTGTCTCTCTCTCTCACTGTCCACTCTGCCTGTCAAAAAAAAAAAAAAAGTTTCAGGGGCAGGCACTGTGGTATAGTGGGTAAAGCCACTGCCTGCAGTGCCGGCATCCTGTATGGCTGGTTTGAGTACTGGCTGCTCTACTTCCTATCCAGCTCCCTGCTAATGTGCCTGGGAGAGCAGTGGAATATGGTCCAAATCCTTGGATCCCAGCACCCACATGAGAGACCCAGAAGTTCCTGGTTCCTGTCTTCAGATAGCCCCAGCTCAGGTCATGTGGCCATTATGGAAAGTGACCCAGCAGATGGAAGATCTCTCTGCTTCTGCCTCTCTGTATCTCTGCCTTTCAAACAAATAAATACATCTTTTAAAAAATAATGTTTCAAAAATATTTTATCCAGCATTATTAGGTGTTTTATGGTAGGAGAGTTTTAGCTGAAAATCCCATTTAATTAACTCTCATAGTATATCGTTTCTCCCATTTTCTCTGTCTGTCTCTCTCTACCCAAACCTGTCGAGACTTTGATGCTTCTTATTTCATAAATGCTACATATCCTAACATTCCTTTTAAGCAGGGCAAACATGTTTTCCCTACTTACTATAATAAATTTTCAATTATTTACAGACCCCAGAACTGACAAGATGTTATACTATTTTCTTTATTTAATATTATTAAATCGATTCTATTTCCTCCCTTTTAGCTTATTCTTGAATATAGAATGATCTATGCAGACCCTGTTTACTTATCCATGAATGTAGAGAGGTACGTTCAGACCTAGTGTTACCCAGTATATCAACAGGCCAAATTTTTTTTTTTTTTTTGCCCTCTTCCACTTGGGTGTTGGTCAAGTTCCCTTCACAGATCTTAAGTTAAGGTCTAGAGGGCTTTGGTTCTCATGGCTCTGATGGACTTGGATAGGGTATTTTCATATATTATCACATTCACAGTAGATGAAGTTTAAGTAAAACTATAGTTCCTGGTCTTCCCATGGCTGCTTTTCCCACCCATGTCCTTGTTCAAAAACATTTCATGCTGCAAAACGGCCATCATCTGTTCTCCTGCCTCTGATCTTTGCTCCAACTTCCTGCTCATTTTTTTTTTTTTTTTTTTTTTTTTTTGGACAGGGACCAGCACACCGGAATCCAGTCCCGGTTGGGGCGGCCGAATCCGTTCCGGTTGCTTCTTTGCTGGGCTTTCTCTCTGCTGTGGCCCGGGGAGGCAGTGGAGGATGGCCCAATTCCTTGGGCCCTGCACCCGCTTGGGAGACCAGGAGGAAGCACCTGGCTCCTGGCTTTGGATGGGCGCAGCATGCCGGCCAGAACGCGCCAGCCGTAGTGGCCACTTGGGGGGTGAACCAATGGAAAAAGGAAGACTTTTCTCTCTGTCTCTCTCTCTTTCACTGTCTAACTCTGCCTGTCAAAAACAAAAAAAAGAAAAAAAAAGTCAGTTAGAGAGAGGGACAGACAGAGAAAAAGAGAAATCTTTCATCTGCTGGTTCACTCCACAGATGGACACAATGGCCAAGGTTGTGCCAGGGTGCAGCCAGGAACCAGGAGCTTTCTTCCAGATCTCCCATGTGGGTGGCAGAGCTCCAAGCACTTGGGCCCTCTTCCGATGTTTTTCCCAGGTCATCAGCAGAGAGCTGGATTGGAAGTGTAGCAGCTAGGACTCAAACCTGCACCCATATGGGATGCCAGCATTGCGGGTGGCAGCTTTACCTGCACAGCCACAACACTGGCCCCAGTCAGATACTTTAGTGAGAATTTGAGAGAAGTTCTGTAGAGATTGTGATGGACATCTTTTAAAACCAATCTCCTTTGATTCACCATTATACCCATTGCTAAAGTCCATTCTTTCTCATCAGCCTCATTGCACCCAGCAGGGGTTTACTGTTGCAAGCAGAGACTGTTTCGACTGTAATGTAGCTAGTACTTGATGCTTCCTGTCTTCCTAAATTAATCCATAGTACTTGAGACCACCTCCACAGGATAAAAATGTCCAGTGGCTGCCTACTTTCCTGAAAGATGAAGTCCAACTTCATCCAGCCATTCAAGATCCCTCACTCTATAATCCTTTTCTTCCTATCTGACAACACCTTCTACTCCTTCCTGAAGATTGTCCTTTCTCAGGACTCCAAGCCTCTATCCATACTGGTTACTCCTCTTTTTTTTTGACAGGCAGAATTAGACAGTGAATGAGAGACAGAGAGAAAGGTCTTCCTTCCGTTTGTTCACCCTCCAAATAGCTGCTACGGCCAGTGCGCTGCGCTGATCCGAAGCCAGAAGCCAGGTGCTTCTTCCTGGCCTTCCCATGTGGATGCAGGGCCCAAGCACTTGAGTCATCTTCCACTTCCTTCCCGGGCCACAGCAGAGAGCTGGACTGGAAGAGGAGCAACCGGGACTAGTACCCGGTGCCCAAACGGGACTAGAACCCGGGGTGCCAGCGCCGCAGGTGAAGGATTAGCCAAGTGCGTCACGGCACCGGCCACTGGTTACTCCTCTTTTATCCAACTCACCCTATCATTCAAATAAAGCTTGGGTGTTACCTTTGTTTGGTTCAAAACTTCCCTCCACATTGTGACACTGTGGATTTGTCACTTTAATCAGTCTTCACAATTTTTCCAATTCCTGGAGGCCAAGGTGCAAACTCTTTCTCCTGGCATATAATAAGGCCTCAGTTTCTCTTTCTGGTGTTGTCTCTGCAACCCATTTTCTGTACAAGGCCTCTGGACACATCACATCTCTCTGTTTTCTAGTCTTGTTCTGTACTTTGAACTTTGTGCACACTCTTCCCACTGCCAGATTTCACATGTCCTTTCTTCAGCCTGACATACTCTGATATTTCCTGTAAGAACCAGTTCAAACATTACCTTCTCCTGGGAGCAGTGTTACACCCAAGGACCTGGAGCCCAAGTCTCCTGCACTTGTCTCGCTGGGTTGCATGTCTTTGCATGTCTTCTGTGCTGGATGCAAGTCCATTGTTTCATAGGACCTAGAACACTGTTATGCAATAGTTGCTCGATGAATGTTATTGAATGCTGTAACCTCTGTTGCTCTCCCCATTGTCTGAACTCCAAGCACTCTTAGTATATCAGCCATTGTGCTAAATTGTCTTATATTGTTCTTCCATTCTGTCAGATGTGTACAGAGTTCCAATGAGATTAAATAGAGATACTCTGAACAGTTTAACACTTCCAGACATGGTTTCTTCATTTGTAATAGGCATCAATCAAAGCACTGTTATATGAAATGGGACAGTTCATTAAAGTGTTTATCACAGTGCTTGGCATAACGTGCTCAAAGTGGGGGAAAATTATGTTATAAACTTAAACCCTATATTTATGTCATCTTCTACTCAGCTTATAGGGATGCTGTGGGGGTGAAATCAGAAGATACATGTGACAGCATATTATCATGCACTGTATAAATACTTAGCACCTTATTTTCTCCCCAACTAGGTTAGATGCCTGTCCCAGTTTTCATTTCTCAAGTTCAAGTCTAGCAGGATGCAGAGAGCCTTCCTTACCCAGCCCAGCTTCTCTTTTACAGCCTCCATTTTTTCTTAAGATTTACTTATTTGAAAGGTAGTGTCAGGGGCAGGGGAAGAGGGGGAATCTTCCATCCACTGGTTCACTCCCCCGGATGGCCCCAGGTCTAGGCAGGCCCAAGTCAGGACCAGGAACTCCATCCTGGGTTCCCACATGGGTGGCAAGGGCCAGAGTACGTGGGCCATCATCTGCTGCCTTCCACGGAAGCTCTATCTGAAGCAGAGCAGCCGGGACTCAAACTGGTGCTCAGATAGGGGACGCTGGCAATGACACAGGGGTCGGCCAAACTTGCTGGGCCACAATGCAAGGTCCCCTTCATCATCTTCTCCTTGGCACCTATCACAGCGACATTTGCACAAAACAGATGCATGTATTTCAAGATGGCGGCAGCTCTACAATTATTAGCAATGAGTTCTTCTGTATCCTTTGTGCTTGATTTTGAGTTGTTAACTCGATTCTTCCTTTCGCATGGGTCCATTTCACTCCTGACGTGCGCAAGGCGCGGTATAACTACATCAGGCTTCCTTTGCGTTGTGGCAGGATGGCTTACTCTTAAAAGAAAAGGAGGTGCCCTTAGCCATAATCCTACATTTTTCTCTGACCGAAGACATGAGCTTATGTTTCTATGACTCTTGCACTGCAGCACGACTGAAGAAATACTCGGTTTGGGTCCCTTCTGGTAGTTCAGCAACTTCTACGTATCACGAAGATGTGAATGAAAAATCCAGGATTCAGGAAGCAGTCACAAAACACGGAGAAAAAAAAAATAAACTGCCTCGAGGTGCTGCAAAGCCACACTAGTTTGGTTACAGTGAATGAAGAAAGGTGAAAGTTCCCATCTCAGTTTCCGAAAAGGATGCGAAACAGCGGCCAGGGCCCAGAGGTAAGACTGGGCCATTAACGAACAAAGAAGACAATGTAGCCGCCCCGACGGCCGCGCCTCAGACCCGCGGGCAATTCCTGAGCTCGCGTTCAGGCGACTACGGGCAAGGGCCGGAGCAGCTGCAGAAGCCAGGTGAACGGCCGCACGGACGGGAGCCAGGGCCCGGCACGGACGGGAGCCAGGGCCCGGCACGGACGGGAGCCAGGGCCCGCCCGGCCGCTCTCAAGCGCGCCTGCTCCGCAGACCGCCCGCGCCAGTGCGGGCCCCGTGGGTTCGCCCTCCGCAGGTTCCCTCCGCCCAGTGGGCCGGGTCGGCCCGACACGGCGGGAGCCGGCCGCGCCGGGGGAAGGAGTTTCCGGCGGACTCGCCTTGGAGCCGCTTCCTGTCCCCTTCGCCGCGCCGCCTCACGCTGCTGCCAGACCCCCTCGCTAGGCGCCCGACCTCCTGGCCGTCCCCACAGCGCCCCGGCTCCATGCAGTCCCGGCTCCTGCTGCTCGGGGCGCCCGGCGGCCACGGCGGCTCGGCCTCCCGGCGTGTGCGGCTGCTCCTGCGGCAGGTGGTGCGCGGCAGGCCGGGCGCCGACCGACAGCGTCCGGAGGTCAGACTGCTGCACTCCGGGGCGGGGGCCGACACAGGTAACCCGGGGCGCCCCCCGCCGTCCCTGTGCTCGCGGAGCCCAGAGACAGGTTCTAGTCTTGATCTCGCTGCTCATTGCTGTGCGACTTGGGGCTAAGTTCTTGCACTCTCTGGGGCAAATGGTGCTTTCTTCTTTCCTCACTGCTGCTTTTACCCTCAGCATTCTGACTTGTATTATAGTTCACGCCGAGGTTAATGCAGCTCTCCAGGGGTAGCGTGAAACCGGACTTGACCTTGCCCTCTGAGTCCCAAAGGCCTGGAAGCCATTCTGTGCCATGTTCCAGCCACCGCTCTCTGAAGAACCGTAACTCACGATGTTTTAGAAGTGTCCAAGAGCCTTTCCAACAGGAGTTCCTCAAATGTCACAGAGTCTTAGAGCTGAAAGTCACAAGAGAATTTAGTTAAAGCCCTTGACTCTACAACTGGTGATTGAGACCCTAACGGAAGAGTGACTTGCTGGAGATCATAATTAATTAGTGACCACACTAGAATCACGTGCTCCGACGTCTGTGCTCAGTGTGTATGTGTGTGTGCGTATATATATATATATATATATATTTATATATATATATAAATATATTTTGGTGTGTATGTTTTGTTTGCTTATTGCTCCTTTTTCTTAGTAGGCAGAGGTTAAGGGTAGCATAATCTAGACCTTGGACTTTGGAATCTTGGTTGGCATCCACTTCTACACTGACTAGCTATGGGGACTTGAGGGTACGTTAGTTGGCTTTATGTCTCAGTTTTCTTAACTATAAAATGAGAGTGTTAAGAGTACCTCTGCTAGGGTTACCATGAGGCTTCAAAATGAGCATCTTTTATTATTCTTAGTGTGTATGCTATCAGCTGTGTATGAGTTATTCTGTTTTTGTGGCTTTAGAAAAAAATGGAACCAGTTCCTTTCAGGTTCAGAACTGTCAGGATAAGCAGAGCAGTTAATTGAGACGAAAATTTTTTTAGAAATAAAGATTTTTTTATACATGAATAGTACATGTGGATTATAGCAACAGTAGAAATGAATTTAGATGTGAAGGTTTTTTTTTGATTTTTGTTTTTTGACAGGCAGAGTGGACAGTGAGAGACAGAGAGAAAGGTCTTCCTTTGCCATTGGTTCACCCTCCAGTGGCCACCGCGGCCGGCGCACCGCACTGATCCGATGGCAGGAGCCAGGTACTTCTCCTGGTCTCCCATGGGGTGCAGGGCCCAAGCACTTGGGTCATCCTCCACTGCCTTCCCGGGCCACAGCAGAGAGCTGGCCTGGAAGAGGGGCAACCGGGACAGAATCCGGCGCCCCAACTGGGACTAGAACCCAGTGTGCCGGCGCCGCAAGGCGGAGGATTAGCCTAGTGAGCCGTGGTGCCTGCCTAGATGTGAAGTTTTAAAGTCTGTATTGTGCAGGTTTTGGCAGATTAGTTTTAAATGTCCTCAAAATTTGTGTATGATAGGAAATCAAAGTAGCAGGTGCATTTCAAGTGTGAGAGTCATGGACGTATTACACACAACATATTAACTTCTTAGATTCAGCCATTGACTCTGGCAGAATTAGACCAGAAGTACACTGATGTGCCTTGCTACTGCAAAGATTCACAAGTTTGAAGGTGTGAGGATTGTGGATAAATACAGCTGGGAGCTCACCAGAGATCTGGACCCAAATAAGAACAGCTGTGAGCTAGGTAAATAGAAGGCAAGCTCTTGGCCACTCTGAGACATAAGGGTAAGGCCATCAAGGTTGGAATGTGCCAGAGGTCATACACAGACAAATATAAAACCGCAGATAGCTTCGGGCTGTAATGGGTTATGGTTTGTGTTGGAAGATGCTCTCAGCCGCACTCATACATCAATTACTCTTTATGCCTTCTCTGCCTGTAATTGACATTGTGTTTTAGTAGTTTGAAAAAAGAGCAACAAAGTATACAAATAATAGATTCAAGTTATATATTGCTCTCATTTCTGCTGGACTGGACTCTGTGTCTTACTCATCTCTGTGTTCCTTTGATGCCTGCCAACACTTTGTACCCGGTAAGCATTCAGTGGCTTACTGTGTTAAAGTTCATACAGTGAATGACTGACAGGCTGGAGCTGCCTTCTTGGCTCTCAGCTTAGTCTTTTATTAAGCCTGATAAGCTTAAGATGAGAGGTCGTTTAAGTTAAAATGGCCAGGAAAAAATAAAATAAAAAAATCACTGCTTTTTATTATTTGTTATCGGGTAGTGTAAGTATCAATAATATCTCTTGGTTTTAGGTAGAAAGAATTAAACAGGAGATTACCTCCTGCAAAGGCTTTTCAGTAGAGATTATTGTAGTGTTTTCACAAGTGCAGCCAAGTAAGTTGGTTCAGTAGGACACAGATATTAATGGACTCAAATATACCATTGAGTAATTGGTAAACTTCAAACAGAACTCTGTAAATTCTTAGTGCTGTCCTTTAACAGAATCATTATTGAAAGGATCCACTAATTTTCCCTTGTGACTCTTGTGTATGAAGTAAATTTCTTTATATAAATGCTCTAAAAATAACTCTGCACAATCTATGTTTATTGTAGAAAAATGAGAATACAAATCACCTACAACATCATCCTCTCATTCATGTTCATAATTTTTTTTTAAAGATTTATTTTATTTATTTGAAAGACAGAGTTACAGAGAGGGGTCTCCAGCCTCTGGTTCACTCCCCAGATGACTGCAATGGCCAGAGCTGAGCTGATCCGAAGGCAGGAGCCAGGAGCTTCTTCCGGGTCTCCCATGTGGGTGCAGGGGCCCAAGGACTTGGGCCATCTTCCACTGCTTTCCCAGGCCATAACAGAGGAGCAGCGAGGACTAGAACCGGCGCCCATATGGGATGCCGGCACTTCAGGCGAGGGCTTTCACCTGCTCTCCATGTTCATAATTATTAACTTATAATTCCATATTTTAAAATAATGGGATCATGTATGTTTTATAATTTATCACATATGTTATTGGCAACATACAGTGATAAATGTTGTGTATATGATCATTTAAAATAGGTATAAAGCTCATATTTATCCATATAATTGATCTTTACCAATTTCTCATTGTTAGGCAGACACATTTTCTACTTTTTATAAAGATTTATTTATTTATTTATTGAAAGGGAGAGTTAACAGAGAGAGAGCGAGCTTCTATCTGCTGGTCACTCCCTTAAATGGCTGCAATGGGTAGGACTGTGTCAGGCCAAAGCCAGGAGCTGCTTCAAGGTCTTCCATGTGGGTGAAGGGGTCAAAGCACTTGGGCCATCTTCTGCTGCTTTTCCAGGCTCATTAGCAGGGAGCTGGATTGGAAGTAGAGCATCCAGGTCTTGAACCAGTGCCCATATGGGATGCTATACCACAACACCAGCCCCAAATTGCCTATTTTTAACTATATAACCAGTGTAGTAAATATGTACATGGATATTTTGTGATTTTAAGGTTATGTTTTGGGCTGCAGTAGAAAAAGTGATCAGTGACTTTGGAGAGAAGAAATACAGATTTCTGTCTTCAACTGAGAAATAAATTATAAATGGAAAATAACTGTATTGTGGTTTAATTAAGTTTTAGCTCTGTATTTACTTGGAATTGAGCCTTGGGGAAATTATTAACTAATTTGAACTGCTGCATGCTATTTTGACCATGAAGATATCCTGACCCTGTGTGTATTAAAGAATTTTTTCAAAGATTTATTTCAAAGACAGAGTTACAGAGAGGCGGAGGCAGAGGCAGAGGAAGAGGCAAAGAGAGAGAGAGAGAGAGAGAGAGAGAGAGAGTAAGTGAGTCTGTTTTCCATCTGCTGGTTTACTCTCCCAAATGATCTCAACAGCCAGAGCTGGACCAATCTGAAGCTAGCACCCATAAGCTTCTTCACAGTCTCCCACATGGGTGCAGGGGCCTAAGGACTTAGGCCTTCTTCCACTGCTTTCCCAGGCCATTGCAGAGAGCTGGATCAGAAGTGGAACAGTTGGGACTTGAACCGGCACTCATATGAGATGCTGGCACTGCAGGCAGCGGCTTTACCCAGTACGCCACAGCACTGACCCCATCTATTAAAGAATTTTAAAAGTAAACACCCAGAGTAGTTAAAACCTTATCAGATATTGGGAGGACCCATATTGGGAGCACGCTGACTAATGTGAGAATTGCTGATTCATTTGATTTTCTCTTGGATGTATGTTTTGTATATTTAAAAAATGGTGACACTAAACCAGTAGTTTTTATTCCGGTGATTCCCATCCTTCATGGGATCAGTTGGTAATGTCTGAAGTCATTTTACATGATCAGAATCAGGAGGGATAGGTGCTTCTGGCCTCTAGTGGGCAGAGACTACCAGTACTGCTAAACATTTTGTAATTTCCAAGACAGTCCCTCACACCAAAGAAAGCCCAAAGTGGCTCTGTTGAGAAACTCGAGCTAAGCCAACTTCTTTGTCAAAGCTATTATTAAAATAGGAACTTGAGACACATAAACCCCAACAGTTTACTTGAGTGAATCTGGCAGCCTTCAGCCCCAGAAGAGGTTCAGAGCCTTGTGCTCTTCAGTGTTTATGGACAGAAAATGGGAAGAAGGCACAGAAACAGCTTGATTGGGTATAGCTTGGATGTTTGGCTCTTTCGAGCATGGTCTGATTGAATGGCAGCCTGTGACTGACTCAAGTTCAGTTGCAATGATTGGCTGAAACTCAGCTATTTCTTGGAAAAGTATACTCCCAAGTTAAGCTGTTAGTTTGTATGCTAAGACTGTGGTTACCTTAGGTTACCTTAGGTTACCTAAGGTACAGAGGAATCCTCAGGATACTTCAACACTGAAAACAAACAAACAAAAACCATTGTATTGTGAGTATATTTCATAGAGCTGAATGTCTTAAAACTATATACATTTATTATCAGAATCTGAGTTTGGAGGGGATTAAAAGCACATTTTAGGAGCTGCAGTACTACAGATGTTCCTGAAATATGATTGAAAACATTTTTTGAAACTGCTAAAGATCTTAATTATAGAATAGCCTC